CCTCAGAGCACTAGGAAAGGCGCAGGCTTGTTACCTATCACCATGCAGCAGGCGGCCCACTTCGCACCCCTCAGAGCTAAGTGGAGACAGGCACAGAGTTAGCGTCTCCAATATCCCTGTGGGAACCAGGCAGCCTCACTCCGAAAACCAAGCATTTACCAAAAGGAAAGTCTGCAGAACAGTGACAGCAGAGGCCACAGCTGGCAGGGCCCGGGCACCAGCACTGATGCTTCCTGTCCACACAGGAAACGGAGTGTCTGTGACACTGCACCCCAAACGCACACAGCGCGTTTGAGTTCTGAGCACAAACACCACCTCCCTAAGCATCTCAACAGCACCCACAGTTCTCATGCCAGGAAGTACTCTTCAGGTGTGACATGAGCCAGTTCCCACGGATGGATCGTCGGCACCTCGCGCAGGCTCTGTAGTCCACAGAGGACCCGGACCTGTCCACACAGGAGCAAGGATATGGACACACAGCACCCAGAAATAGCTGCCAGCAAAGCACTTCACAGTCCGCTGGGTCACTTCTCAGAACCGGGTCAGGAAGAGTCTCAGACACAGGTGGAACGGGGCATGATTCCTATTCACCTGTCAGCATAGCTGCAGGCTGTGTGTGTGTGTGTGTGGGGGGGGGGAGCCGCAGCAGAAAGACAGGTAGGTGGGTGTAACTAATTATTGGCTAAAAACTAACTTTCAGCATTTTCAAAAGGGATCAAACAAACTTAACTTTCAGGCCAGAGTGGGACAGGGGAGCTTCAACTGGGGGTGAAAGCAGTGCTCTTCTGGTGCCCACCAAGGGAGCAGAAACCTAAGGCCACAGTGACTGGCAGCACTGCAGTTAGGGGGGCACGATGGGGCTAACGTGTGGTCTGGACAAGAGGGACAAGAACACGCAGCAAACAGTACCCTTCTGCAGTGGGCAGGGAAGAAAACAGAGAGGGGATGAGAACAAGACAGCCGGAAGCAATGCACCTCTGGGCTGGGCAGGGCGGCTGAGTCAGGCCGAGGTGTGCTCAGCTTTGGGTTACTTGCACAGGCAAAGCCTCCACTGCCTCTGGGGTCACACTGCCTTCAGTCCTTCAGAGGGAGGGTCCCAGAAAGCAAAAGGTACACCTGTGAAACCACTCACCCACTATGAGCACAGTGTGCAGTGAAGGCCTAAAGCTCAGAATCCCACTGCAGCAGCAATATTGCACGGGCAATAACACCCCTGCAGAAAAAGGGGACCACGCAGAAGGAAGCCATCCTCACCACCTCACACCCCAGGGGCCTGGCCCTGATTGACACCGGGAAGGTGGCAGGGACCACACGGCTGCCATCTGTGGTCTCTGACAGACCCGCTATATTCCAAAGGAGCATGCTGCTGGCAGTGCAGATGCCCACCAGGTTTGGGCAAGGGTGGGGCACAGGAACCCCACCGGGTAGCAGGGCCGCAGTGGGGTGGGCTGCCTGCAGCCAGCAGAGGACACGACTGTGGCCCTGGCTTGAACCAGAGGGATGCCGTCGACACGGAGGTACCAGTGCAAAGTGGAGAAGCAGAAGGCAGAACGGGAGACCCGGGAGGGCTGGGCTCCAGGGCACAGGGCACTGCCATCCACACACGCTGCTGATGCAGAGGAAGATGGCAGAGAGGACCACAAGACTCCTCAGCACAGAGCCCAGGGGCGTGAGTGGAGCCACTCGATGTCCCTGTGTTTGCTCCCTGGGGGCAGGTGTCTGCATTCAGCACTGTGGGCACAGGTTGCACTGGAGAGCAGCATGCACAAGATGCCAACAGCACCTCAAGTCATGATGCAGAAATGCCTCTCGACACTGCCAGTATCTCCTGTGAATGCCGGGGTTGAGAAGCACAGCCTTGGAGGAATTCACATCGCTAGATCCTCTGAAAAAGACACTAAGCATGTGCTTCTGCACTTTGTTTCCAAATGGATCTGAACTAGAAGATACAGTTGCAACAGGCAGAGCAGAGGCAGGTTTCCTGGCTGAGCTGTGCAGGTCATGGCGCACAGGGCTCTGGGGGACTCCTCTCTGGAGAACACACACAGGGCTGTCTGCAGACGGCCCGTAGGATGGTGGGGGACAGTTCAGGGTAAGGATGCAGGGTCAGGCTGCCCAGGCCAACGTGAGGAAGGACCTGGCTGTCACACAGAGCTGCACAGTGTCACATACAGTGCCAGGACCACACATAGTATCACACACAGTGCCACAGAGTGTCACACACGGTACCACACAGGGTCACATGGTTCCACACACAGTGCTAGTGCCACAGATTCACAGTGTCACATGGTGCCACACACAGTGTTAAATGGTGCCATCCATACGGTGCTATGTACAGTGCCAAGACCAAACACGGTATCACAGTGTCACACATGGTGCCATACATAGTCTTAGTGCCACACATGGGACCACACATGGTGTCACATGGTGCCATACACAGTGTCACATAGTGTTCCACAGTGCTACATGCAATGCCAGGACCACACAGGGTATTACACACAGTGCCACATGGTAGCACAGTGTCACATGGTGCCACACAGTGTCACAAACAATGTAGTGCCACATACAGTGCTACACATAAGGCCAGTGTCACACATGGTGCCACAAAAGGTGCACAGTGTCACACACAGTGCCACACAGTGTGCACAGTGTCACGCACAGAATCACACACTGTGCGTACTGTCTCACACAGTGCCACACAGAGTGCCACACAGGGTGCAGAGTGTCATACAGTGCCACACACAGTGCACAGTGTCACACCCGGTGCCACACATGTTGCCACACAAGGTGCCACTCAGGGTATAGAGTGTCACACGAGAAGCCACACAGTGTAGCGTCACGCATGGTGGCATATGTGTGTAGTGTCACACATAGTGCCACACATGGTGTGTAGTGTCTGACACAGTGCAGAGTGTCACACACAGTGACACACAGGGTGCACAGTGCCAAACATGTTGCCACTCAGGGTGTAGAGTGTCACAAGGGAAGCCACACACAGTGTGTAGTGTCATACACGGTGCCACACATGGTACATAGTGTCACACACAGTGCCACACAGGGGGCATAGTGTCACATAGGGGGTATAGTGTGACACATGGTGCCACACAGGGTGCACAGTGTTACACAGTGCCACACATGATGCCACACAAGGTGCATAGTGTCACACACAGTGCCACACGTGATGTTACACAGGGTGCCACATACAGCACTGTGCATGTGGTCTCACTGGGAGAGACCTGGAGAGCCCCTTTTCTGCATGGACAGAGGACTCAGGCCCCAGCCCCCAGGGAACAGCAGTCTGAAGGCAGCTCGGTGCCCACTCACCTTTGCTCCTATCACAGCTGCCCACTTGTAGGAGGCTCCCGCTACCTCAATCAATTCAGGCTGGACAGCAGGGACTAAGAGTGACTTCCAGAAACGGTGCACCAGCTAGAGCATCCTGAGGCAAAGAAGAGAGGCCTGCAGTGGCCACGGGCTCACAGCACAAAATTCAGCTTGACCCAGATCCCACTCCAGCCATCAGGCACGGTGGCAATGCCAGCCAACCTACTGTAAGTCACTTCTGAAGTGACCAAAAACCTCCACTTGCATCCCAGTCCTGCACTAGAGATCCCCAACCAGCCCTCTCAGCAGAGAGCAAACAGAAACCGGGTGGAAAGAGTTTGTTAAGAACACGTTGGGTCCACAAGAAAGCACTTAACCAGAGGCTCAAACCCAGTGCAGCAGGAGAAAAGGGGCCGCCTGACCCCAAAGGTTTCAAACGCCAGCTGGAGGGACCGGCCTCGGATTGCCAAGGTGCAGTCTGCTTGGAGACCCCAGAGTGGGGACCCAGGAGGTGAAGCCAGCTCTGCCTCACCCCACCACCCTGCCTTCTGGGTCCCCAGGAAAATCTCCATCAGGAAGCTGCTTAGGATAAGAAAACACCAAGGATGTGCTGAGGGTGGGGGCAGAGCCTGCGTGTGAGGTGGAGGCAATCGGAATGAAACGTTCTGAGGTCTTTCAATTGCCTGCAGGAGAGTGAAGTTTTAACTCTGGGTTTTGCTGAATGAATCCTGCAAATTGAAATGCCCAGAGCAACCAGTATGGAGGCAGAGTGCCTACATCCTATCTGGAAGGGGAAGGAGCGGAAAAGAGAAAACATAACCAACCCAGTAGAAGTCAGGGAGAAAAAAAACCACACCCTCCTCCAAAACACCAGGACAAACAGAGATACACAGGTGGTAGTTAAAACAAGTTCCAACACGAAACCAAACCCACTGCCAAACTGATTCTAACTCGTAGCAACCCTACAGGACAGAGGAGAACTATCCCACAGGACTTCCTAGGCTGTGCTTCTTTGTGGAGGCAGATGGCCACATCTTTCTCCCATGGAGTAGCTGGTGGGTTTGAACTGCCAACCTTTTGGTTAGCAGTCAAGCACTTAACTGCTGTGCCACTAGGGCTCCTCCTTATACTAATTACAATGACTGTAAACGGACCAGATGGCTTACTTAGAACAAGATCGCCAGACCAGTTTATAATCCAGATACATTATTTTTAGAAGTCACATCTAACACACAGGAACATGAAATAGGAGAAACAACTGACCGACCAGAAGGCTGATGCAGCTGCGTTAACATCACACCAGAAGCAGTGCTGGACGCAGGCCCTTCCCAGACCCCAGGACAGACTGATTCTATTGCGTGTGTGCAGCCTCAACCCACAGAAAGCAAGGACAGGAGATGGGAAAGAGATGAACACAAGTCAGCTTCACGTCCTGGCAAATGCCGACCACTGCACCCAGTGGTCAGAGGGGAGTCAGCTTCATCTCCCAGCAAACGCCGACCACTGCACCCAGTGGTCAGAGGGGCAGAGAAAGCACCCATTCTTCTCAGCTGTCCGCAGAACATTTTTGAAAACTGACCACATACCAGGGCACAAAGCAAGTTCCCAACAAATGTCAAAGGACTGGGATGGTCACCCTGCTCTCTGAAATCAGTGCCAACAAGAGCACATCGGCGATGAGAGGAGGCCAAGTAAAGGCCCCGGAGAAAGGCACCCATGCCCTCTGCCCATCCTTAGCCCTCATGAAGCAGCTGGGCTGGAACAACGAGGAGAAGGTACGCCCTGTGTTCCCTAAACCAGTTACTGCTGAGTCGGCCCTGACTCCCAGAGACCCCATGTGTGCTGGAGTAGAATCTGGACTGCCAGGCTTCTCCTCCCAGGCTTGTGTACACAGATGAAGGCCCTGTCGTCCGCCCCCCATAGTTAACCCTGAACCTGAGGCAGTGGGATGGAGGACACATCTCACAAAGCTATGTAGCAGCATCAGAAATGCTAACAGGCAGAAAAGAGGACGCTCTGAGTCAGTCACAGCTGTGGTGTTTTATGTGTCCCTAATAACAGGGGAGCGACGGGTCCAGCTTGGGGAGCACCCCGTAAAACCCAGCTTTCAAGGGCCACCACTCCCAACGTGAAGCCGAGTTCTTCGTAGTCCTCGTGAAGTTGACCGAGTTCATGTTCCAATCCACCTTCAGTTTGATTACAACACAGCACAGCCATTAGAGACAAAGGAAGAGGGTCTGAGTCAGGGAATCCTGAGAGCAGCTGAAATGAGACATGCCAGGCCAGGCACAGGGCCTGCACGCGGCGGCCAACACCGCGGCGGCCAACACCACAGCAGACCGCTGGACTGAGAGGAGGCTGCCAGGAGGGGGACAAGCCCCCAGACCAGTTAGACAAAAGAAGCAACAGAACCGAAATAAGGCCTCAAACAGAGCAGCCCCTCACATCACACCACGCATGTCAGTCACCAGGGGCCCTCTGGCCAAGGCTGTGGTCACTCGTGCATCTCCCAGGAACTCTGAGCTGCCGTCCATTCTGGCCCTCTCTCCTTGGGCAACCAGTCCCACCCCGTCCCCACCACTCCTCCCACCTGCCCCTAGGCTCTGCCCTCTGTCCCACAGGCTGGTGTACCAGAGGACCACTGGCCAGGCAGTACCTCCTTCTCACAGCCGGAGCAGCACCCTGCAAGCACAGAACCCCATGTGGCTCCTCCTCCTCCAACACTTGCAGGCTAGGACAAGGCTCCCAGCCGGCCTCCACACACCTGACCTTCAGTGGTAGCCCTGGCCTCACCACACAGCTTCCCAACCACATCGTGTCTTTGCTGCACCTCAAGTTTGCCCGCTTCTGGTCCACATCAACCCTCAAGCCATGCTAACTTTTTTCAGAAGCAGAGCCCTTCCTCGCTGGCTTGCTGGACAGCCCCACCCAGCACAGCCCCGTGCCCACCTCCTGCCTCAGTGTCTCCCTTCCTGACGTGGGGCCCTCCTGGCAAATAGGCAGAGGAGGCCCCAGGAGCTAACGGATGTCAGCTCCTCGAACCACACTCTGTGCTAAGCCATGGACCCCAGCAGAATGAGCCCCAGAGCCCCGTCCTCAAGCCACCCTGCTCCACCAGCAACAGCAGCACTGTGCAGGGGCCCACAGGAAGGTTCGCAGCGTGCCCCCGAGACTGCAGGCAGATTGGTAAGCTTCACGGTTGTGACAAGCTGCCAGTGACAACCTCTGTACAGCTGAATGCTGGGACAGGTGAGTTCATGGTTTAATCTGGGCAATGTAATAATGCTTGAAGGGTTTGCTTGTGGAATGATTCACAGTGGCCGCCCAGCCACCACACCAGCCATCCTCACTCTTCGGCACAAGCAAGGAAGTGGACGGCAGCTCAGAGTTCCTGGGAGATGCACGAGTGACCACAGCCTTGGCCGGAGGGCCCCTGGTGACAGAGGATGGCAGAGGCCCATTACTGGACTCCCCCGCCTAGCAGGCTGTGCCAGTCAGCTTAGGCTTGGTTCAGCTGCAGCAACACACGGCCCAGACAGCAGAGGCTCACTTGCTTCCCAGGACAGCTGTGAGCCAGCTCACCTAAGAGGGAAACTTAGAGAGCAGACCACCTCAGGAGGCCACATTCTTGACAGGAAAGAGGTCCAAGCTGACACACTGACACTTCTGCCCACGTCATTGGCCCACACAGACTACATGGCCAAGCTGCCGCCCATGGGCTGAGAGCACTCTCGGGAAGGCCCATAGCCCCTGGAGCAAAGGGAGAAGACCACAGATACTAGCTGACAGCTGGGATCCCATCAGTGGTTCCTGCATGCAGCCCAACCACCACAGAGGATGCACATGGCTGCACAAGGCACTGCCTCCCCAGCCTGGCCCCCACCTTCCAGAGGCAACCTCAGGACCCCAGAGTAAGGCTGTAAGGTCAGTCACACGGCCACCACCTGTCACACTGGTCTCGCTGGCCTTGGCCAATGCTGTTGTGGGAGCTGCCAGGCAGAAAGAACCTGGCAGGCACACAGATTCCAATTTTACAATGTTTGCCTGATACTTTCCCAACCAAGCAGGGAACAGCAGCAGCAGCCAAACCTCTTGCTAAGAAAAACTGAAATGATAATGGAAAAAAAAAAAAAAAGGTTTGAAGGCAAGGAAAAGCCACCAAGCAGCCAGGAGTTGAGGGGCCCAGGTCTCTGAAGGGGCCTGGCTTCCTGGCACCCATCAGGCATCAGTTTGTAGGCAGGGTGAGCCCCGAGCAGGGCAGAGGGGCCAAGCAAGATGCAGCATCCAGTGTGGCCTGGCAGAGTCTTGGCAGCTTCATGGGACTGGGGGACAGAAGAAAATGGCATTCAGGGAGTCAAGAAGTGGACTTCAAATAAGTGTGACAAATGTGGTCAAGAAAACAGACACGAGATGACAAGTGTCCCCAAAGAACAGGAATCCAGAAATGTGATTCAAATGCAAATTTGGGAAAAATAACAAAACTAGAACTAGAAACTCTATTAATGGGTTAATAGCAGATAGACGTTGTAGGAGACGTTCTTAATCAAAAGCCAAAGCACAACACCTCAATGGAAGCAGAGAGGAGAAAGGGGAGGAGTACAGAAGGGGACTAAGAGACAAGTGGAACTGACTCGTGTACCACCAGGTCCTAGAACGAAGAGATCAAAGCTGCATTTGAAATGATGGCTGAGAACCTGCCAAAACTTACAAAAGCATCAGCCACACATTTAAAAACAGCTATGAACCCACACCCAGTCTAAGAAACAGTTAAAAGCCAAATGCAGCGAAAAGCTTAAAAGCACTCAGAGAAAAACAAGGGTGCTGTCCACACTCAACCAATATAGCCAGACAGGAAGCAGACGCACACTGAGACTGTTCCACGTGCTACAGCTTCTGAGCTAAGCCTTCCAATCTTCTATTGAAAAGGTGGCCATTTATTCCAGGAAACGCCAAATGCTCCCCGCTCCTACTAGACCTGACCCCAACCCCACTGTCCCCCTGGTCTACAGACACTTCCACCACCTGCATCTTTCCATTTTATACCCACAGCACCAGCCTCCAGTCCACCCTTCCGTTTCTCCAAGCATCTGGTTTCTCACCAAAAATTTAAAGTCCCTTCCGTCTCCCCACCCTAACCACAGCAACCCCAAACTGCTTCAGTCCCCAGCTAATCTGAGTGGAGGACTAGCAGTATCAGTGGGAAGGGAAGGGACAACTACGGCAGCAGGAAGAAAGCCCACAGCAATAAGCAGATGCCCAAGTCATTTTGTTCTGCTCTCAATGATGGTCTGGGGAAGAAGAGTACAATAAAGAAAGGCAGAAAGAGAGGGAAGAAAAGGCAGAACCTGCAGGAATTCCACATCAGACCCAAGACCTTCCCCACACGATGAAGGTGACACATAGGCTCCACTACAGCAGGGAAGGCCAACTAGACCGAGAATGTGCCCCACAGAGATCCTAAAACAGGCACACACCTCTGCGGTATAAAACATTACATGAACACCGGCTGGCTTCTGCATTTTCAGTTGCTTAAAATGGTATTTTATTGTCTTTTTCGTCCAAGTGAACCCCGCAAAGCAAGTTCCCATTCAACAAAGTCCACACGTATTGTTCAGTGACAGTGGTTACATTTTTTTTTTCTTGTAATCGTGCAGGGTCTGTTTCTACACAAGCAGAATGACCAAGACAACATCAGTCTAGGTGGCTGTGGTGGTCAGTGCCCCATCCGTATCTCCTGGAATCTTGGTATCTCTTTTTTAATTTTGTTATTGTTGTTTGAGAATATATACGGCAAATCATACAGGCATATCTTCTCTTGCTGTGCTCCACAGATACTGCGATGTTCACGTGTTGAAGGTCTGTGGCAACCCTGCGTCAAGCAAGTCTTTCAGTGCCGTTTTCCAAAAGCAAGTAGCTATTTTGTGTCTGTGTTACATTTTGGAGATTCTCACAACATTTCAAACTTTTTCATAATACTATTGCACACTTAATGGACCAAAGTATAGAGTGTAAATGCAACTTTTATAGGCACCAGGAAGACAAAAGATTCATGTGACTCACTTTTGTGATTTTGCTTTATTGTGGTGGTCTGGAACGGAGCCTGCAACGTCTCCAATGCATGTCTCTCCACCAATCCAACCCTTTGTACACGTACGATTCAGGGGCAGTAATTCTATTCTTTCAGTCGTCCTCCTTTTCTGAGTTGTTCCTCTTCCACTAACATAAACTCACTCTCCACTAAGCTTCCCATTTAATCGTTCGAGTGGCTATTGTCACTTTGGGAGCTCTGGTAACATGGTGGCTAAGGCACCTGACTGCTAACAGAAGGCTGGCGGTTCAAACCCATCAGCCACTCCTCGGAAGGAAGATGGGGCAATCTGCTTCTGTAGTGATACCGCCTCAGAAACCCAAGGAGGGGTTGCTATGAGTTGGGTCTGACTCGACGGCACATAAGAAACAAAAAAAATTGTCACTTGATCTCATACAGATAGTTCTTAAAAAAACAAAATGTCTTTTGAGGCAGACATCTTATTAGTGAAGCTAAACTACTGTTTGGTTTTAAGAAGACTTCAGGGGACATTTTAGGTTTAAGGTTTAAAGATGATCTTAGGACAATAGTTTCAAGGGTACATCTAGCCCCCATGGCTCTAGAAAGTCTTAAGTCCAAGAGAATTTTAAATTCTGTTCTGCATTTACCACCTTTTGATCAAAGATTCTGAAGAATCTTTGATCAAACTGTCCAGAAATGATAGCCTGGCACCATCCAATTCTTCTGGGCTCATGGCAAACCCATGGCAAACTCATGGTTACTGAGTCAGTGCTGACTCACAATGACACTAGAAGACAGAGGAGAACTGCCCCACAGGTTTCCGAAGACCGTCAATCTTTACAGAAGCAGACTGTCTAATCCTCCCACAGAGCAGCTGGTGGGTTCAAACCACCAAGCTTTTGGTTAGCAACTGAATGCTTTAACTACTGTATTACCAAAGGAAGTAGTCTTTAATGGAGGCAATTAGCTACATATTCCATATCCTCCTCCTATTCCTGATTCTTTCTTCTTCTATTGTGCCAGGGGAACAGAGACCAACTGTCATGCTTGGATGGCTGCTTGCTCAATGTCATTAACCATCAGAGAAATGCAAACCAAAAGTACAATGAAATACCATTTCATTCCCAAAAGAATGACTAAGAAGATTAGGGGGGAAAAAAAAACAGGAGAAAATAATACATGATGACAAGGATGTGGGGAAACTGGAACCCTTATCCATTGCTGGTGGGAATGCAAAATGGTATAGCCTTTGTGGAAAACAGTGTGGCAGTTCCTCAAAAAAACAAAAAATAGAACGACCATATGGCCCAGCACTTCCACTCCTACATATACACGCAAAAGGCTTGAAAGCAAAGACTCAAAAAGAGACTTGTCCACCAATGTTCCCTGCAGAACCATTCACATTAGCCCAAAGGTGGACACCACCTAAATACCCATCGACAGATGAACAATAAACAAAAATGTGGGCCATACACACAATGGACTACTACTCAGCCAGCAGGAGAAACAAAGTCTAGAGACATGCTACAATGTGGATGGCACTGGAAGATACTAGGCTGAGTGAAATAAGTCAATCACAAAAGGACAGATATCGCATCACCTCACTCATCTAAAAAGAAAAGGCAAATGTATAGAGACTAAAGTTTATCAACAGCTTCCAGGGACTGGAGGGAGAAGAAACGGGGCCTGGCGGTGATGGACAATCGTAATGATGAAAGGTTGGCAACCCACAGCCAATTATTGTATCTGTTGTAAATAAGCTGTTATTGTAAAAAGTTGAACTGCCAAAGTTGTGTGATAGATATATTTGCGACAACACACACGTACAACGAGTAGTTGCTAAGGCTATTTATGTGCAAACAAAAACGCCATGGGATTTGCCTCCTTGGTTTGGAGGTTTAGGGTCCTGGTTCCATGGGACATCTCAGTTAACTGGCCTACTAATGTGTTCAGTGGTTCTGTTCTACCTCCTAATTTGTTGCGTAGCGCTTGTGGTCTTAAAAGCTTGCAGTTTTATTTTTCATCACACAGCTGAAAGGACCAAGTTGCCCTCTGCCCTGAGTGCTGCCATCACCCTTGGCCCTCCTTTCCAGCATGTGCTGGATCGCCCCTCCCATATCCTGTGGCCGCTCCCCCA